AACTTTTGAATTTTTGCCAATGCAAAGCATATAAGAAGACATTTCTTTATGATTTTAAATCTGCATTTCCTTTCCTACATTTAATGACCATTTATGTTCCTTCTCTTTGAAATTAATATTTTTTCATGAAACAAGTTTTTAATCAATTATCTTATGATTATTAATTTGTGAAAATTCTGTACTCTCAACACTACAATTTTTGCCCAATATACTTTTGTAGATATTTTCTTACAGTTCAGTTCTCTGTTTTTACTGTTTTTATAATATACTATGATAATAAAAATATTATTTAGTGAAATTTGTCAAAGTTTTCCTTGTGAGTTTGGAATTCTTGAATCTTTTTAAGAGAGATTTTTCAAATCACAAAGCATAAGGATATCTTCTTATATCATCTAATGTTTTTAAAGTTTTGCTTTTCACTTTTAAATATTTAATACCTCTTAGAATAAATCCTGTGAATATCATATGTAGAGATTTAATTTCATTTTGTTTTGAACAATATCCAGTTTCTGGGATCATTCCTTAAGTAATCTATCCATTCTTAGTGAGCAGCAGTATAACAGATTACTTTTCCATACATGAGTGGGTCTAGCTTTAAGCTATTTATTCCAGAGGTGGCCATTTGCCACAGCTTATAATGCCACTTGGGAAAATTGAATCTTATATCAGTGTATTTGGGTTCAAGTCCCAGTTCCACCTCTGATTCCAGCCCCTAACTTAGGCACACAGCAAGTGATGGCTCAATTACCTGAGTCTCTGCCAACTGTGTAACAGACCTGGATTGAGTTCCCAGATCCTAACTTTGGCCTAGCCAAAGTTAGAGAGTGATCTGGTGGATAGAAAATGTCTGTCTTTCAAATAAATAAATTTGTAAATACATTTGAAGACCCATTGGCTATCTGCCTTCATGAAAAGTACACTGTCTGAATTCTGTAACTACAGCTTTATATTATGCCACTGATGTTTTCTACAGTGAGCTTATTTTACCTGATGCTTCTGCTGGAGAGTCTTGGCTATTATCCTCAATCTCTTCTGGTTCCTGGCTTCAGCCTTGATCAGGCCTGGTTGTTGCAGTCATTTGGGGATTCAACAAGCAGTTAGAAGATTCTCTCTCTCTGTGTGTGTCTTTCTCTCATTCTGCCTTTCAAATAAATAAATTATTTTTTTAAAAAATAAACATGTCATGCTTCTCTATGTTACTGGCAATTATTTAATGTCTTTTAATAAAGCTTTCTGCTATTCTCTAGAAGAGTTTCTACATATTTGGTTTACCTCCTTTCTTATTTTTGTGTGGCTTGCTTCTACACAATATGTTCTTGGTTGCATTAACCAGGAGGGCTTTTTCCTCCCTCTGGTTGCCTACTGTGCCATAATGGTAGAAATGAGTATTAGTACAAAGGTTTCTGAATTGGAATATTAAAATAGCTCTTACTTTATTTTCTTAGTTTCTGCTTTTTTCTCCATACAGGTAAATCTCCTCACTATCACACTCCAAAATTTCTTTATGTTGTTTATTATCTGTGGTATTTTGATAAGTCTTTTCTCATTAGAACACAACTCTCAATGATAGAAATTTTGTCTTTCCCAGTCAGCACTGTGACCAATGTCTAAAACAAAATGGACACCAAAAATTTGCTGAATGAATAAATTGCAGATACTGTTACTGTTTCACATGTTCTTAATATTTCAGAATGTAGAAATCCAGACAAGGGTCTTTATCACAAGTAGTTATATCATCTTAACTACTGATTAAGCAGCATAGGCCAACATGGTGGAATTGCATATGGAAGAGTAGTACTTATGAGTAGCAGGAATATAAATGGAACTGGTGATGCCATATTATTCTATTCTCTGGATGCACTGGCTTACAAGTTATTTATGAACATGGAGTAGAATGATACTCTGATTCACAGATCACCTATTCTACGTTTTTCCAGTTTCTAGCACCTGTACTGCATCTTGGTTGAGTGGCCGCGTATCTTCCACTTGAACTCCTTCAAAAACAGACATTACCTTCTCTCCTCAGATTTCCACTCCATTTTCAAATAACTCTAATTATGTTGGAGTTCTTCATATTTAACTAAATCCTGCTTCTCCTGAGTCACTCATTGATCTGAGTTTTGATTGCCAGATCTAAAAAAAAGAAAACAAAAAATAATTTAACCTCTTCTGGCTTAATAGATTTTCAAATATTTTAAGTAACCTACTTGGTACAATAGTTTTTCTCTTGTTTAGTCTAACTATTCCATTACTCTCATACATGCATTCTTTCAGCTACTATTAGTTGAATGGCTACCATGTGCTAAGCATAGCAAAAGTGAGCATTAATAATTTGAGAAAACATTTCTTCTCAGATGCCAATACACGGTAACTTCTAAGATTAAGCCTTAACTTTTTAGAATGTGTTTGTCAATTGAATAGGTGCTTAATAGAGATCTGGGACTTCTTAATGCTAGTCAATATGATGGTGCTGGTTTTGAAAAAAGAAAAAAGTGCCTTGCAAGTTTGAACAGAGAGTGAGAAAGAGAGAGAGAAGAAAGAGAAGCTAAGGTTTAATCATGCTGTCAGACTGTATAGAAGAGTATATCTTTCCATTTCCTTTCAATAGCTAAAATAATTTTGGGTAGATTCCCCAAAGAATTCTCTCAAAAAAAGAAAAAATCCCAAGTTTCCTGGAAAGAGCATATGGCATATTTCATAAGTGTTATGTATTTTTTAAAGCTATAGATTTAGCTCTCTAAGAAAGGCTTTTTGGATTAAAAACTAAAACCAAAAATGGCACCAAATTTCCACTTGCAATTTTAGCCCCTCTAAGTCTTGTCAATTAAAGATATAAATATAAATTGTCCACATCCATCCCTAAGCTTATCAAAGCTAAAGCCTACTTGGTTTAACCTTAAAGTGAAAAAAAAAATATGTTTCACAAAATTAGTTTTATGATACACTCATTTGAAACAGATTGCTCTAATACTATTTAAAAATTAGAGATACATATGAGTATGTGTCTCACAGAAATTGAACTGAAGTTACTAGCTGGATAAGAGCTATAAAACTTATAATTAATAACCAGTGGATGAGATTTTGAACTGTAAATCATAGAAATTATTTGGAAGTCTCAGATATTGACAGCTGCATTTCTCAGACTACTTGGAACACTAGGGTCTTCAGTCTACAGAATTCATCAATGATTATTTGAATCTTTCCACTACCCATAGACAGTAACTTAAATATTTGATATACATCCCTGACTAGATATGTGTGTGTATATCCTTGCACAATATGCTGTGTCGTATGTGTGCCTCTTTTTATTAATTTGCATGGACACTAGCTTGCATAGAGTGCTATTTGTTCAGTTTTTTTGTTTTACTAAATAATATCTATTCAGCCAGCTAAATATATGTAAATATTTTCCCATTTTGGCTATTCAAAAAAATTTACCAATTCCACTGAGTTTACTCATTTAAATCTTTTATTTAAATTCAAAGTGTAAAATATATCAAGGGACAGAGAATATGGGCAAGCATTGGAATTCCTATAAACATCCCATGTGCAAGGCGCCATTATTGGGAGAGCTCAAAAGGATGTGTTAGCTCATTCAGGCTGTTATAACAGCTGTGTAGCTTATAAAAACATAAATTTTCTTCTCAATGTTGTATAGAAGTACACAAACTGTATAGCTTATAAAAATATAAATGTATTTTCCACTGTTATGGAGACTGGGGAGCCTAAGATCAAGCTGGCAGCAGATTCACCTTCCGATACCACCACCTTGGAGGTCAGAATTTCACCATTCAAATTTTGAAGGAGCACAGACATTGAAGCAGTAATAAAAGATAAGCTTTCAGAGAGCCATTTCATGTCTTTTGACTGAATAAGCAAAATAGTTCTGTTAGACCCCAGTGGACCAGCTATAATCATCTTGGGAAAAAAAATGACTCTTGGGGCTCTCAAACACAGACACTCAGGTACCCCAGAAATAAAGGTAGAATTTTCCAGTATACTAATAAATCAACACTTTCTACTATATATATATGTGTGTGTGTGTACATACATATATGTTTGTATGTGTATGTATACATGTATATATATATACAGATTTTATAGTTTGTCATTTCTAATTGCTTTGCAGTATCTCATGGTTTGCATCCTTTACGTATTAATTGGTTACTCCCCTAAAGATGAATACACAAATTGCTTCCAGTTTCCAACTAGCTTAAACAATATTGTGGGACCGGCGCTGTGGCATAGTGGATTGGGCCCCCATCTGACGCACTGACATCCATATTGGCACAGGTTTGAGTCCGGCTGCTCTGTTTCTGATCCAGTTCTTTGCTAACGCAAGGAAAGCCTGGGAACTTGCCTGGGAAAAGCCTTAAAGATGGCCTGGGAAAGATGCTGAGATGTGGGAGACCCAGATGAAGCTCCTGGATCCTAACTCTGGCCTGGCAAGGTGCTGGTCATTGTAGCCATCTGAAGAGTAAACCAGCAGAGGAAGATTCTCTCCTTTCTGTCTCTCCTTCTCTTGCTGTAACTCTGACTTTCAAATAAATAAATAAATCCTTAAAATTGTGATACATATATCCAGAAATTTCCTCTTGTATCTATGTGAGAACTTCCCTGAGATATGCAGACTTAGAATTGCTGACTAATAATTAGGGAAATCATGTAATTCATCATACCCAGTGAATCAATTTTGAGAATGGAAAAGGTGTTATTAGTAGTTATGTTATAATAACAACATGAAAAGCAACCTGGGTAGAAGAAGGTATCTGGTCCTTAGAGTTACAGGCTGTGCACTTAATACTGCCATACTGCTCTCCAGACAACATAAACATATCCCACGTCCTTGCCAACACTTTGTGTTTGTAAATTTCTATGAAAATTTTCATGTGCAATTTTCCTTTCATTATTATCTCCACATATTTGTTATGTATGCACTCTTTTCTTCTATTTTTTGATTCAACACTGTAGTTCCGTTTTTCTACTATAAATATGAATTAGTTGTCAGCTTTATACATATCAATTATTTCTCCTCAGTTTCATCACTAACAATTCTTGACAGAAATCTTTGATTTTGATATAGCCAATTAGATTTTACTTTTATGTAATGCTCTGTGTAGCTTGTTTAAGTATTTCTCCAGGGGCTGGCCTAGTGGCACTTCAAGTTAAGCTGCTGCTTGGTACACTATATCCTTTGCCAGAGTGCGTGGGATTTAGTCTGTCGTCTGCTTCTGATCCAGCTTCCTGCTAGTATACCTGGGGAGCAGCAGCAGATGACTTGAGTACCTGAGTCCCTGCCACCCATGTGGGGACCCAAATGGAGTTCCTGGCTCCTTGTTTTAGCCTAACTCAGACCTAGATGTTCAGACATTTGGAAAATCAACCAGCAAATGGAAGATTCTCTCTCTGTCTCTCTCCATCTCTCCGCCCCCTCTCACTCCGTCTCTGTCTCTTTCTCAGCCTTCTTCTTTTTCCTTCTCTGTCATTTCACTTTTCAAATACATAAATAAATCTTAAAAAAATAAATAGCTACTCATCTTAAGGTTACAACAATACTATCTGATATTTGCTTCTCTTAACTATATAGTTTTCCTTTTCATAATTAGAGGTATAACCTACCTGGGCTTCACTTTTGTAATCACTATGAAATAAGAACCCATTTTTTTCTTGATTTCAAGAGTTTAGTTTGGACCACATAGTTCTTGATTTTCTGTAACCCTTATACTCAATAAATAATTTACTAACTGTCAGGAACTTCTGCATTTTCTCAGTTAATATTTTCCTCTACTTTTCCTGTCTTTTAAGTCCTCACATTAAAACACAACCTTTGCCCTCAGGTTTTAAAAGACACATGATGGCCTCAGGACTCTGCTGTCAGAGGGAATATGAGTCTTGCAATTCAGGAATATGTAGCCTACCAATGTTGGTTACTGCCTGTGCCTTTTGTGTAACTGGCAGAAAGACACATGCTGTCTCAACACATGAGGATCAGAAAGGAGACAAAATTACTCATGTTTGTGAAGGTCAGTTCTTTTGTTTTTAAAATATTTTAATTATTTACTTGAGAGGTAGAGTTACCTCTCAAGTGAAAGGGAGAGACAGAGAGAAAGGTCTTCCATCTGCTGGCTCATTTCCTTAACTGGCTGCAACGGCTGGAGCTGAGCTGATCCAAAGCCAGGAGCCAGGAGCTTCTTCCTGGTCTCCCACGCAGGTGCAGGGGCCCAAGAACTTGAGCCATATTCTATTACTTTCCCAGGCCATAGTAGAGAGCTGGATTGGAAAAGTAGCAGCTGGGACTAGAACTGGCAACCATATGGAATGTGGACACCAAAGGCAGAGGATTAACATACTTCACCACAATGGCAGCCCCGAAGGTCAGTTCTTAACCCTTGTCCTTCCTATCATATCAGCTTTTAAATATCTACATCTGTCTCTTGGATGGAGGAAAGTTATACTCTCATAGATCAGAATATCCTAAAAAAATGTGAGCTGCCTAGGTGCATGTAACCTTTTGTGAATGGAGTAAAATACTATTTGCCCCATCCACACAAGGCAACTTCATTGTAATTGGTTTTCTGATATTTAGTAGCACATAGAAACAATGTCCAAGTGCACAGATGATTCTTCATGTTGATTTTTATTTGAAATTTTTGAACAAAATGTCGTTTTGAGATGTAAAAGCTGAGCATAAGGAATGAGAAACATCTTTATTCTCTTATAAGTAGTGTTCTTCAACATACTTCCCAATAAACTTCCTGTATACACACAAACACACACACACACACACACATGCACACAGTGAAAGGGTTATCTGATTTTGGCCTATTTGATTAACTTTGTCATCTCCTTTATCTCTATAATGGCTTAATAACAAAAGTTTTTTGTTGTTGTTGCTTTAGGATTTATCATGTACATTGTAATTAGATGATGATCTACCTTCAAGTAGTGCTACCATAGGGTTCTGAGAACACTGCAGTAGTGGTTTCTATTTCCACACAAATTTGTACTCTTGTACATTTTACTGTCCCATATATTGAACACACAATAATGTATGATTTTTTAGTTTCACTGTAAACAATAATGCCCTTATATAGGCATTAAAGATAAATTATCTCTTGCAAGATAATTTTAATCCACTCTATGTTCATAGGCTAAATTATCCACTAATCATAGTATTCAATGAGTAAAAAGTAGGAAGACTACAGTTCCCCAAAACTATAAACACAGGCTAAAAATGTATAAAATCCCAATATGTTCATTTCATTTCTATACATTTTTTGTACTCTATATTAGTTGCTACATATAAGACATTTGTCTTTTTGAGCCTGGCTTATTTCACTAAGCATAATGGTTTCCAGTTGCATCTATTTTGTTACAAAAGGCAGGATTTAATTCTTTTTTTTATGGCTGATTAGTATTCCACAGTGTAGATGTAACACATTTTCTTTATCCAGTCATCAATTGATGGACATCTGGGTTGATTACATTTCTTAACTCTTGTGAATTGAGCTGCAATAAACATGGAGATACAAATAATTCTCTTGTATGCTGATTTCATTTCCTTTGGTTAAATTCCCAGGAGTGGGATGGTTGGGTCACATGGTAGATCTTTTCAGATCTCTGAGGAATCTCCATACTGTCATTCATAATGGTCATATTAGTTTACATTCCAACCCTTAGTAGATTAGGGTACCTTTTTCTCCACATCCTCACTGACAATTATTGTTTGTTCATTTTTGGATGATAATCATTCTAACTGGGGTGAGGTGAAACCTTATTGTGGTTTTGATTTGCATTTCCTTAATGGCTAGTGATCCTGAGCATTTTTTCATATGTCTGTTGGCCATTTGAATTTCATCCTTTCAAAAATGCTTGTTCATGTCCTTTTGCTCATTTCTTAATTGATTGTTTTGTTGTTGTGGAGTTTCTTGAATTCTTTGTAGATTCTGGATATTGATTTTTCAGTGGCATCAGTGGCATCATTTGCAAATATTTTCTCCCATTCTTTAGGTTGGTTCTTTGCTTTGTTGAATGTTTCCTTTGCGATGTGGAAACTCCTTAGTTTGATGTAATATAATTTGTCTACTTTTGATTTAGTTGCCTTTAAATTTTCTTAATTGTCTTTTCCAGGTCTTTTCCTACACCAATGTCTCACAGAGTTTCCGTGATGTCTTGATTCAAAACAGACTTAACTCCTTCCTCAAATTAGAAAAACGCTCACCATTGTTTATTTATTTTTTTCTTTCTTTCTTCCTCTACTCCTTTGGGGACTTCTATTACATGAATATTATGTGGTTTGAAGTTCCCTGTATCTAAATTATTCTCTGTTTGTTTTGTTTTTGTCTCTTTGTGTTCCACACCAGAAAGTTTTTATTCTCTTATGTTCTGTTTCATTAATCTGTCTGCTGTTGTGATTAGTCTCATTTAATGTGTCTTGGTTTCAGGAACTGCATTTTCATCTCTAGAATTAAATGTCTTTTAAAAATATCTTCCACATCCCCCATACCCTTTTTTTTGTTTGTTTAAAAAACTTTTATTTTGTTTACTTTTAAAATTTTTAGTTCTTAACATATTCAATATAGTCTGTAGATACAATTCTTTTTTTTTAACTTTTATTTAATGAATATAAATTTCCAAAGTACAGAATATGGATTACAATGGCTTCCCCCCATAACGTCCTTCCCACCCGCAACCCTCCCTTTTCCCACTCCCTCTCCCCTTCCATTCACATCAAGATTCATTTTTCGATTCTCTTTATATACAGAAGATCAGTTTAGCATACATTAAGTAAAGATTTCAACAGTTTGCCCCCACACAGAAACATAAAGTGAAAAATACTGTTTGAGTACTAGTTATAGCATTAAATCTCAATGTACAGCACACTAAGGACAAAGATCCTACATGAGGAGTAAGTGCACAGTGACTCCTGTTGTTGACTCAACAAATTGACACTCTTGTTTATGGCCTCAGTAATCAACCTAGGCTCTTGTCATGAGCTGCCAAGGCTATGGAAGCCTTTTGAGTTCACCGACTCTTATCTTATTTAGACAAGGTCATAGTCAAAGTGGAAGTTCTCTCCTCCCTTCAGAGAAAGGTACCTCCTTCTTTGATGACCCGTTCTTTCCACTGGGATATCACTCATGGAGATCTTTCATTTAGGTGTTTTTTTTTTTTTTTTTTTTTTTCCCCAGAGTGTCTTAGCTTTCCATGCCTGAAATAGTCTCATGGGCTTTTCAGCCAGATCCGCATGACTTAAGGGCTGATTCTGAGGCCAGAGTGCTGTTTAGGACATCTGCCATTCTGTGGGTCTGCTGTGTATCTCACTTCCCATGTTGGATCGTTCTCTCCCTTTTTTATTCTATCAGCTAGTATTTGCAGACACTAGTCTTGTTTATGTGATCCCTTTGGTTCTTAGTCCTATCATTATGATCAATTGTGAACAAAAATTGATCACTGGGACTAGTGAGATGGCATTGGTACATGCCACCTCGATGGGATTGAATTGGAATCCCCTGGTATGTTTCTAACTCTACCGTTTGGTGCAAGTCAGCTTGAGCATGTCCCGAATTGCACATCTCTTCCCTCTCTTATTCCCACTCTTATATTTAACAGTGATCACTTTCCAGTTAAGTTTCAGCACTTAAGAAGAATTGTGTATTGATTATACCCTTTTAAACATGGGATCCATTTTATTTCCTGGTTCTTTGCATGACTGGATGCTATATATTATGAATTATACCTTGTTAGATGTTGAGTATTTTTTGAACCTTGTTGTGGGGCACAGTGAATTTCCTCACATAGAGTTTGCACCTTTTTTTTGAGAATTGAGTTTAGATATTGGTTGGTAAGATGAAAGAAATAGTCATTCATAGACAATACTTTTGGGCCAGCGCTGCGGCTCACTTGGCTAATACTCTGCCTGCGATGCCGGCACACCGGGTTCTAGTCCTGGTTGGGGTGCCGGATTCTGTCCCGGTTGCTCCTCTTCCAGTCCAGCTCTCTGCTGTGGCCCGGGAATATAGTGGAGGATTGCCCAATAACTTGGGCCCTGCACCCGCATGGGAGACCAGGAGAAGTACCTGGGTCCTGGCTTCGGATCGGTGCAGCACATGCCCATAGCAGCCATTTGGGGGTGAACCAACAGTAGGAAGACCTTTCTGTATCTCTCTCTCTTATTGTCTAACTCTGCTTGTCAAAAAAAAAAGATAAATTCTAAAAATTGATATATCATGTACATGTTTTATGACCACAGCCAATAGAAATAGAAAGAAAAAGGTCACATTTTTGTATATAAATGTGAAAAGTCAATTGCTTACAAAAAAGGAAGAAATAAAAGTGAAGATTTAAAATACTTTTCTCTGATAACAATAGATTAAAAAAAAACTTCGTGATTCAGTAAAACAATACTTAGGTGGATATTTATAGATTGCACTTGATATTTTAGGGGATACTGTGGGATGGTATTCAATTTTGTAAGAGAAGAAATAATAGAATAAAACCAATGAGTTATAGTAAAATAAATAATAAAAAAGTAAATTTAAAAATAATGTAATAAAACAAATACTTGATACATCCAAGACAACAAAACCAAACAAAAGTAAAAGAAATATATCACTAGTAACAGTAAGCAAGAAAAGCAAAATATATAATATTAGGTGTGAATATTAAGATAATTGTTAAAACACGGGTACATTGTTTTAATGTGTACATGTAAATGGATTCTTTGAAAAAATAAATTACTACAATAATAGTCACACACATTCAAAACATTATAATCATTAACAGTATTTGTATACAATTTAAACAGCTAAATAAAAGAGATGTTACTTTATTAATAAGATTGAATTAAAAATAATTTACAATCCTGTTGTTACACAGCTGGGAAAAAAATGATGGGAAGGGAAACTCTTTTTAGAATCGGAAAGCCATCTGACAAAAGTAGGGAATATTATAGAGCTGTAAAATCACCAATTTTATTTTCTCTAATGTGATAATTGGTTCAGGCAAGGATCATCAATGAACTAT